CCACCACCACACCACGACGCCCGCAACACACCACCACCACCACCACGACAGCCAGATATACTAAAAAACCACTACGCCTCAACACCACCGTACGCACGGCACACACCACGGAACACAACAACCGCACGCACATCACCGCAAGCAATCACCACGGCCACCAACATCACCACCTCACCATCATCATCACCACCACCAAACCAGATTTGAACCTACACCAGCACCACCGCCACAATAGATCGAATAAAAAAATCCCAAAAAATGAGGTGGCGTTGTATATTCCACCGCGTGGGGCTTCGGTTGAATAAATCGGCAGCGAAAAACGCTGTTGAACGATGGAGTGTAGTTGAAACTTGGATCTGCGAGCACGAAAACGTTGTACAGATTCTTAGGGGTGTCGTTGAAGAAGAGTTCGCAGAGAGGTGCAAAGGGAATAGGAGTGTTAGTTCGGCAGCAGAGCTTGCAGCGACAACGACCAATTTTTTGTAGCTGCGTCGGGCTCGCAGTAGCCTTGCGCCGCCGTTCAACGCTGGAAGGGTGGGGTGGAGGATCGACGGCAGTGGGTAGAGAGAGTGTGTGTGTTAAAGTAAGAGAAGATAGATAGAGAGAGTGGTTATAAAAATGAAAGAGGGTTTGTTATTTTATTAAAATATTTTTTAATTAAAATAAAACATCTGATTTTGGAAATGTGAAACATTGTATCTGATTTTAGAAGTTTAAAAACTTAAAGTACTATTTTATATATGTTTTATTTAGTAATAATATATTAATTAATAAAAAATCTGATTTTGGAAATATTAAACTTCCAATGCGATTTTGGGAGTTTAAAAACTTAAAGTACTATTTTATGTAATTACCACTATATATAACTACTCGTCATCTACATAAACAAAATTTTAAACGGGACCGTTCCTCCTACTCATTAATTTGACGCACTTATTTGACAAATAATCGTGACCTTTCTTAATAATAATAATTTGGGGTTGATATTTGTTTTTTCGAAATTACTTGACTAGACCGGTAGACCTCACAAAACGTTCGCGTTTTGATACACTGCTATATTTTAGTTAAAGAATTGAAATTTAACTCAATTTAATGTTTATTACTTAATTTTTTAATTAAAACAATCATTCAAATTATATTCTTTACATGAATTGCCATGAACTAATTTACATTCAAAGTGCTTGAAAAAAGCATGAAAGTAATAAATAATAAACTCAAACCTTATTTTTATGTTACCTTATTTTTATGTTATGAATTATAAATAAAAATGTTCAAAAAGAAGTAACCAATTCAGTTCCATAACTGCACATGCAATTGTTTGATTCCAAGCAAAATTATCGCCATACTTTGCATCATGTCCACCATATATAGCGTCACTGACAGATCCAGGGGGGCTGGACCGGGACCCAGCCCCCCTTTTTTTTAAGTAGAAAAATTTTTTTTAATGTAAAAAAAAAAAATTTATCGTGTAATTTTTTTTTACGTATTAGTCCGACCTATAATCCAGTCCTGGATCCGTCCCTGTATAGCATCATTCAAACATGAGTAATATTTTAGAACACTGAATACAGGAAAAAAAATAGAATTGATACAGAAATTTGAATTCATGTACTCATAGCATGTTGTGAATACACATTGAAGTGTGTATTCTGTCTGGTACAGAAATTTGAATTCATGTACCTATAGCACTATTCAATATTTTATAACATTATTAGTACTTAATATCGATGTGGTAATAATGTATCTACACCCTATAGCTATAATTAGTTGTATTTTTCTAATTTTAACAAGTTCTATCAATGCAAGGTCGACTTAGGGATGACAACAAGGCGGGTATGGGACGGGTTGGTCATTCTCACCCCCGTCTCGTCAGATTTTTTTATTACCTTACCCCATCCTCATACCCGCAAGTTTTATGCCTCATTTATTTTTTCTTTTGCTTTTTTATTTATTTTATTTTTTACTTTTAACTTTTTTATATATTTAGTTAGCAAATATTATCATTTTTTTTACCAATTTATTAAAAAGAACTTATGTTCCCTTAAAAAATGATGATAAATCTATTATTTTTGTTTGATAAAAAATTTAAATTTAAAATTAATTTTAAACATCGTGGGTAGCGGGGCGGAGATTATATTTCCCGTACCCGTCCCATACCCGCTTCGGGACAATGAATCTCGTCCCCTCCCCGCCCCGTTTATCCGGTTAGGCGGGTAATTCCCGCCCCATTCGGGGCGAGACCCCACGGGTTGATGCCATCCCTAGGTCGACTATCGCCTACATTGGTGTAAGCAATTTTTCAAAAATAATGCAATCTTCACTACCAAAAAAATTAATAATTCATTAGTTTATTTTAAGAATAATGGTCAGTGGAAGAAACAATATTATCTAGGCACCTTTCCCCAACCTGGGAAGCGACATCCATTGATGAATGGTAAGCTTGAATTTTTTTAGAAAATTGTTTGCATCTCTAAAGTAGGTTGTTTTTTATTTTTTTTTTCCCAATTACGAATGAGGAAATTACTATCATTTTAACCCAAATAATAATTTACCTCGTACAATCTTCTAACATGTTTTTTAAAATTCCATCATTAAGCCTCCCAATATTTGTAATTTTAATTATTGGAGTAGTGTTTATTTGAAAAAAGCTTGATTAAAAATTGAAAAAAATTGGAATTATATTTAAATATTATTTTATTGAGAATGTGTGATTAATAAAAAAAAATTATAATTTTAACGAAGCCAAACAGAGCTAAAAGATTATGCCATGTAATATGAATTCGCCAATTCTTAAAACACACAATAATTATTGAAAGATTATGTCAATGTTTGTCTCCCATTAAATTTTAATTTATTTTTCTTTTGTCAACCAAACATTCTCTCAATAAAATTATATTATACATAAATTCAAAAAAATTCCTTACCTTTTAACCACGTTTTCTTCAAAGAAACACTATTTCAAAATTAATTTTTGTCAAATAATGAAGCTCAAACAAGAGTATATATACTAAGATAAATTCATTTTCCCAAGGAAAAAATGTTATTTATACATAACATAATTAACCCTCCTTACCTAATTTCTACCTTACCCCGGAAATCAAAACCCTCTGAAAAGAGAACACGAAAAGACAAAACTACCCTCTGCCTCCCGCCGTAAAGAGGCAGGCCAGCATTGCACCACCGCTGTATCAATAATTGCACCGCACATCATGATCTACGACGGTGTTTCTCCTCCGCCGCCAGAAATTTAAGATTAACAACAACTGAAAACGAAATAATTGACTAAGAACACGAAAAGACAAAACCACACTCTGCCTCCCGCCGTAAAGAGGCAGGCCAGCATTGGCCACGTGCAGCACCACCGCTGTATCAATAATTCCACTCACAACTACACCGCACATCATGATCTACGACGGTGTTTCTCCTCCGCCGCCAGAAATTGAAGATTCACAACCACTAAAAACGAAATAATTGACTAGACACGATAACTCTACTAATATGTGCCGCAGTTGATGACAGTGATCGTCTCGTATCATATGGTGCAGCCGCAGAAGACGAAGAAGAAGCAGAGGAAGGATACGAGGGCGACGGATTCGATGGCGGAGATAAAGGACCAGATGACGGTGTCCACAATGGGGAAGGAGAAATCGAGGTCCGGCCACCGCACGAGCGCCGCCAACCGCCGCGGTTCGAAGCTGCTCAAACTACTAAGGCTAAGGCTGTTGCTCCAGCTTAGCGTTAAATACGAGGTGAACAATCTCGGCCACCGGAAGAAGGACGTTGGCAGAGAGAAGCTAACGTCAAGCCATCGGAAAGCTGACGTGGACGACCATCTCGGCATATCGGATAGTTTGTGTGCGTGTGTGTTTTCAGTGAGGTTTTGGGGGTGCGCGAGCCCTACAGTACACGAATTGAGAAAGAGTGAAGGGGAGTGAGCTGTTCTGGGCTGGGTTTTAATTTAACGTAAAATTGGTACAGTTGGAAAGAGATGTTTTGGCCAATTCTGGATCGATCTAGGCCGTGAAATTTGTTTGGTCAATTCGAGATGGTCCCACCCATGTGAAAAGCTGGCCGTTTGATGGTATTCTAACACGAATTAGTTATTTGAAAACTTTTCCCCACGTTCATCTTTGGCGGAATTTATGGTGCGTTTGGTACGCTATTTTCAATTTTTAACTTTGCAAAACGTTCAAAATTTGTTGAGTACTATTTTGAAAATATGTTTTAGTGAAAATTCTGAAAATACATCAAACATGAAAAGAAAAAAACGATTAGGACGTGTTCGATAGATATTAAAATTGGATAAAAATTGAAAAATTAGTCGTTATTGTTGACTTTTATTAGACGAGTGGAACCCAATAACGGTCATATTTTCAATTAAAATTGGATTTTAATTTTGGGCAAACATGCTCTTAATAAAACTTAAAATTTAAAATTCAAAAAATAAAATTAAAAATTTTTAAAAATAAATCAAATTTTGAAATAATAAAAGCAAAAGTCCCTTATTTCGAATCACAAAAATAAGATATTTTGACCAGAATCATCATACAAAATAAAATGTCCTAATTAATGAAATGTTAGAGATAAAAATTCTATAGAAATAGTTAAATGTAACTAAACTTGCAATAAATAAAAATTATGTACTTTAATTATTTGAACTTTTTCTACGGTGAATGTGTTCTCAGAATACCGAATACGGTGGGCGGGAACTACAAGGTTTCACACTGTATTATGAAAGAATTTTTCAAATAGTGTAATTAATTTCCCACCAAATTTTAAAAGCACATATCAAAATTTCGTTGGAGCCCCTTTCGGTTTCCAATTTTTTACCTCATTTTAATAACTTTTCCAATCATTACAAATGCAGCAATCACAACTTTTGACTTTCTATCTCACAAGGAGGACCCATGTGTTGGAAAAAAGGGTCACAAATTTAATTCTTGTGTTCAAATAATAATAGAAAACAAACAGGTTGCGAAAATTGACATTCACGTGTACAGTGTAGCTAGAGGTATCAAGACATATCGAAAATTGACTTGTTGGAATTATTCTATTATGTGGGCTTCCATTTTATTGTGATTTTTATGAGTTAGATGTATGATTTGCAATAATATTTGGGTAAATTAGGCCTACTACCCTTTAAAATCGACTAAATTGAATAATAGCATTTTTGCACTAATTAAACCAATTAGCACTTAATTAATACATCCTAAAAGGACAAACCCAATGGTCTTGAAGTCGAGATTCGAACCATATCGTACAGAGTTCTTCTCAAACTTCCATTGATCAGCATCAAGAATCTCCTCCTGGTGTGATGCCAATTGTCTCTGAAAGGAGTTGGAGGTTTTGAACCTTTGAGTTTCATAAAGATTATACAGAAAGTTTGTACAGTAACCTTTTCGCAAAAAAAGGTGTTATTATCACTGTGGTGTTTGAAGGTGGTGGGTTTTGCAATTAAGATTGTAGAGATTGTAGAAACAATAGCCTGTGGGTAGGGGATGCTGCTCTTGGATTCAGTTGATGTAGTCAAGGTGTTCGTACAAATGAGAATGTGAAAAGTGATAGTCACTTTTTCCTGAAAAAGTCGCAGTATCTTATTAGAGTAATTAACTAATATATGCGTGTTTTTGAAAATTTAAATATACGAATTCAAAATTTGTTTTAATCTTGCATTCAATTTATAATTCTTTGATTCAATTCAATTGATGCATCCAATGTGTTTGCTGTAATGGGAAAATGAAAAAGTGACATTCTATCACTTTTCTATCCCAAACAAAGTGACAGTAAGTGAAAAAAGTGACAAATATTCAATAAAGTAAGGATGGATTCTTATCTTGCACGAATTTCATTATATGTGGATTTTTGTCAACGAGAAAATCACCATCATATTATTTTTGTCATTTTTGTCATTTTATTTTTGTGACTTTTTTCGAATTTCATCACTTTCGAGTGTTTGTCACTTTTTTTAATTCGTGTCACTTTTTTTTTAATTTTCGTCACTTTTTTGAGTTTGTCACTTTTTGAGCGTTTTGTCACTTTTTTTTATTGTCTATCACTTTTTTAATCTGTATATCTTCTTTTAATTTGTGCCACTTTTTTTAAAAATATTTATCACTTTCTTCACCTTCTTGATTTCTATTACTTTTTTTAGTGACAAACATCAATTTTTTAATAAAAGTGACACTGTATAACAAAAAAATGACACTAACTTTAAAAGTGACAGTAGATCACATTTTCATTGTCACTTTTTTTACGTAATCAACACGTGGATTGGTCTGAACATGGTGATTATTTTAAGAACATGATTACTGGTTTTACACAAATGGATGACGCTATTTTGGTATTTATCACTTTTTTTTAATTTTGTCACTTTTTTTGAATTTGTGTCACTTTTTTAGAAAAATTTAAAAAGTGACTTTTTGTCACTTTTTCATTTAAAACAGTATTTTTTATTTCCTAAAAACTTTTCATATAATTTTTCAAAACATCCATAATTTTAAGGATATTTTTGTAAGTACCCCATAAAACTTTGATTGGACCCAATATGTTACTATGTTAGTGATCATTTGGGCTGTCATACACCTAACGGACTATATTATTATAATGTGGTAATTTTAAGTATGTGGGCCGGAATTATGTGAAACCTAATTAGGGTTAGAGTCGGTAATGGGTCAACTTTATGATTTCCAATATAATGGCTAGATCTCATCTCTTCTCCAGATCGTATTGACTTGCCCCATTGACGACTGATTATTTTGAGGAGTAAGGAGATGAAGATCTTGCTGGTAATATTCATACATAACAATATTTTCCACATATATGAATTTCGAACTATTAATTTAAGCCTCTGTTATCCATTCTTTTTTTTCATTTTCATTCTTCTACTAATTTTCAACCACACATTCATCAATAAAATAATATTTTCCATCACATCAATAACTTTTCCTTCATTTTCAACCACAAAAAAGGTGTGATTTGACACAAAGAATACATTTTTTTCTAGAATTGGCACCGTTTGGTAACCATTCTTTTTTTCATTCTCATTCTTCTACTAATTTTCAACCACACATTCATCAATAAAATAATATTTTCCATCACATCAATAACTTTTCCTTCATTTTCAACCACAAAAAAGGTGTGATTTGACACAAAGAATGCATTTTTTTAGAATAATGGTTACCAAACGGTGCCAATTATGTGATTCTTATTTTTAGTATGATTGTATTGAATAATTACAACATGACCTTCATGTGTTCATATCCTATGTTTGGCTCCTATTTTTTTTTTTTTCAAAATTTACTATTTAAAAACTTGTTTTTTGCTCAAAAATGGGACTCAAACAAGGGAAATCTATGTTTTTGGTAGGCCTGATTTGTTTAAAATAAAAAATTTTACGATGTTAGCTAATATATTTGACCCGTTTAATAATTGAATAGACATATAACGTGTAAATGGAATTTTATTATGATTAAATTATCGTTTTATATATGATTCTTATAATTTACAAATCAGCCCCTGTTTGATAGACATCATAAAGAGAAATTGAAGGAAATTGATATTTTGAATAGTGATTCTTTTGGAGAATGTACGGTTAAAAATTAGTGAAAAATTTTGTGTTTACGTGTAGAATATTTTATTCTATAAATGTGTGATTGAAAATGAATATGAGAAATAAAAAGTTTTATTTCAATGAGAGTCATAATATTACATTTTATATTCTTAAATTGGCATCTCCTCATTTGTTAATTAAAACAATATACCTTTCAATTCACTAGTATGTCATGGAACTATCACATTTACTTCAGGCGAACAAATTAATAGGGACAGCGAAAAAATTATGAATTTCATAAAATATATGTTAAACCAGAAGCAGCCTCAGAAGGAACTTTATTCATTCATATGTTAAACGACTGATTAAAGTGGCCACAAGCGGACTCTGGATGGCTAAATTTCTGTTTTGTATCTTTTCCAGAAGAAAAATTTGTTCTAAATCCAATTGCTTCAAAAAAAACTTGAGAATAATTTTGATTCACAATGAACTCTTTCTACCCCTTCACTTTTTATGTTCCGAGAGAATATCAAGCAATTTAGTTAGACCCTGTTTGATACGTCAAATGTTCCAGAAAATTAGGAAAATATTTTCCACTTTTCACTTTTTTGGCTATTTGATAAGCGAAATTTTCTACGGAAAATATTTTCCTTCTTTCCTCCACACGTGTGCCATTTCCGACTATTTAATGAAATTTTTTTCCCATAACGGTGGGAAAAATTTTTCCATGCTGACTGGAAAAAAAACCTTTTTTTT